TCTTTTTATGCATTGGGGGAAAAAGGACACTTTCATGGGGCTCTTTGCATTTTGGGTCTGAATAAAATCGGTCAGAGTTGTAGAAGATTTTTACATAAACGTGTAGAAAAATGTTTTTCCGATCAAAAATGACTGAGAACTAATAAAAGTATGACAAAAAGCTGAAAAGGTGCCTCTTTTTGTCCCACACTACTCTATAACTAATTAGCACAGTTAATGTGTTCTTTGATGTGTTATATGTAAGAGTTAATAAAAAGTAATCTATAGAAAAAAATGAATAAAAATGGCGAAGAAGATAGATTTTATACATTTTCTCTCTTATACAAACAACAAAGAGAAGCTCTTTGCATTCTACGATTGCTCCGTTTGCTCTGTCTGCTCCATGTGCTCTGAGCATAATTTTGACGGCTTCCCTAACAAGAATACTATCTCTTATACCTTGGCATACGTCTAGCTGGCTGATGTTGTACAAATAGCCTGTTTTATATCTTAATGTTTAGCGATGTGACGTTTCAAGTCTGTTTCGAAAATAATCAGGTGGCATTGTATAGAATGAGAGAATCTACAAAATGTGTGGATGAACAAAGGGTAAAGTGGGAAAATACCTAAAGAAAATATTCGCTTGCGTAAAAAGTCATTTTTCATTCAAGAAGAAGTCAGAAAGTCTTTTGTTTTGTTTAAACAGGAATACTTTTTATTGTTAGTGTTACTGGAACAGGAATCTATACAATATTTGTATCAATACGTAAATGTTTCACAAAGTTTGATTATGTCTGTAATTTAGTTAATCAATGGCAGAAAGTTATATAGCAGCTGTAAATGAAAAATGAGAAGATCATAAGAACTTACTGGTAAATTATGTGATGTATAAATAAGTATGCAACTGCTGCTCAGTTTTAGCTCAAAAATTCGGAAGATATGGTTAAGCTAAACGGAATCTCTGTTGATTGCTAACAGCAAATAGCTGACGAAAACTTTTGGGGAATAATTCTGCAAGCAATAAAAAAAGTGTTTTTTGCCCGAACATCTCTTGAGCTAAGTCTGAAAAGGACAAGTGCGGACCGAGGTTCCCAAAAGTTTCTCTCCATCGAATGTCTTTGATAGGTGATTTCGTAGGTTACTCACCAGTTTGCGTAATCATAAATAAAATATTATCAGCATTTCCATCATTGTTTGTTCCATATTTGTTCACATCAGATTGCCGTGTCATTACCAAATATACGTTAGCATAGCGTGTTAACGATTTAATTTTACCAGTATTTGTTCGATAAAGCATTGACGTTTTATTCTGTCTATCACTTGCGGAAACCGGTCCAATTTGTAGTGAAGCTATTTTATGATAATCTTTATCCATAAAATCAACAATAACCTTGGCATCATCCTTTTGTTCACCAACACCGCCCAGAAATGCAGACACGGTAAAAGACAATAATTGTTGATCGATGCCTTTTGAATAAGCTGTTAAATTAATAAACTGTGACATATTGGATATACCATTATCCGTTTGGCCGTTAGTTTGTTTTCCATTACCACCAGAATAATAGCAATAGCCGCGGTCTCTTAAAAGCAACGGGATTGTGTCAGAACACTTTTGCTTGTATGTAGAACCTTTCTTACTCCCTCTCAAACTGTACAGCCAATGGCTAACGTCAGTTTCAGGACTTTGACTCTGGTTATATCTACTATTGCAGAGTAGATAATTCTGCATTACATTTCACTTTTACCTTCTGTTAAAACTAAATGCTGCGCAACTTTAGCGTAAAGCAGTGTGAGAAAGAGAACAAACAAACTGAGTATGAAACTTCTACTAAGGACTTTTACAAAATCTATGTTTATTTTCAAGCTTCCGACGTATAACTTATATTATCATCAACTGAAAAATGACTACTAAGAAGAAAACATGTCAAAATATATATGATGTGTTACATTCCCACTTATTGATACTTACAACAATATGTAGTAGAAAGAAACTCAGTCTACTATTACCACAATCAGATAGAATTTGTAATACAGTCCTGAATTAGTCATAATAAAAAAAACCTTCGTCAATATCGTCATTATCATTCACCAAAACAGGGTCGTAGCCAGAGGGGGTCTGCCCTGGACTTTTGAAAAAATGATTTTTTTCCACTAAATCTCGTCAAAAAAAGTTGCTAGTTCATAAGACTTCACACTGTTTCTGACAGTGTGGAGACATATCCCGATCGGGATATACTCCCAATCGGGATATATATCCTGATTGGGATATCATTTTTTGCAGCAAAATTTTTTTTATATCCCGAACGGGATATAGTTTGAAATTATATCCCGATCAGGATATAATTCGATATCCCGATTGGGATATCAAGAAAATCTATATCCCAA